GGAAGATTTTGTTACCACCCTTACACATCAAGCTGGGTCTGATGAAGAACTTTGTCAAGGCCATTGACAAAACACAAGCAGCTTTCAAGTACCTCCATGGAAAATTTCCAAGGTTAAGTGAAGCTAAGATAAAGGAAGGTGTCTTTGTTGGTCCTCAGATTCGTGAACTTCTTCGAGATGATGCATTTGACTATGCACTGCGTGGCAAGGAAAAGACGGCATGGAAAGCCTTCCAGTTAGTGGCAATAAATTTTCTTGGAAACAGCAAAGCAGACAACTACAGGTTGTTGGTGGAAAACCTCCTCAAGGCATACAAAAGCCTTGGTTGCAACATGTCACTAAAGATACATTTTTTGCACTCTCATCTAGATTTTTTTTCCACCGAACTGTGGAGCAGTGAGCGGCGAGCAATTTCACCAGGACATTGCAACAATGGAGAAACGCTATCAGGGCAAATGGAGCCCATCAATGCTTGCAGACTATTGCTGGACAGTGACAAGAGATGCTCCATTTAATGAATACAAGAAACAAGCCAAGGAGCGCCGAGTAGACACTGAATAGGACTAAACTATGTACATAATTTTTTGCCTTTTTGTTTCATAATAAATTTTATTTATATAACCCTTTTGCTGATTTTTAAAGTGTTACATAAACAGGACAGATGAAATATTATCATGTAAAGCAACCATAAACACATGAAAAGACCTAGGTTTACGATTAAAACTCTATCTACGCACTATACATAGACATAAAATTTAAAAACTTAAATATCTTAAATCGTAGCCAATCAGTTGTTTTAATTGTCATATTTGAATTCAGCACATCAAAATACATAATAAATAGCACATTTTATCTCTGCAGCAGACGATTTCTCAAAAATTGTAGACCAGTGTTATTAAACTCATCAGTTAATGCCACAGGAGAAGGGTTTAACTTCCCCTTGTGCTTGTCCTGTGATACTTCCCCTCGATGTGTCTCACCCTGTTATCCCCTCCTCCCCCAGCCTGTCACAAGTGGCTTGTTGCCTGTGAAAGTCCCCTAGTGCAGGTCATCTGTTTTTTTGTTTTTTGTTTTTTGTTTGTTCATTGTGAGGGAATGAGAACAAGAGTCAATCTGCTTCTTTTGAACAGTGACTGAAGCTCCCCATGTGGGGCATGCTGCTCTTGGTGGGAGGGAGGGACCATTTCAGTCCTGCTCTTCCTGTGGGACTCTGTGTCATTGTCCCGTATCCTCCTTGCCTCTCTGGGTTCCTCTCTGATCTCGGAGCGGAGTCTCTGACTCACGAGGTTGAGAGGAAATTGCAGACTCCCTTGTCAGAGTGAAAGGAGAGCTCTGGTTCAGGGCTAGAGCTTGCGTAATCAACTCTCACAGAAAGGGACAAACAAAGGCACATGTAGCCAGGGAATGGAATTCAATTTCAGCTTGGTCTCTAGTAGAGAAGCATGGTATTGTCTGGCACCTTTGGTGTTCTTTGCTCAGGAGAGGCCTAGAGCTAGAATAGCAAAGGGTGCTGCAGGTAAAAGTCGAGGTTCATAGGCAGAACTGTGCAGGAACCCAGAAGTGGGGTAGCAAGTGGTCTTGCAGGTCAGGACTGGGGTGCATTGGCAGAGCTGCAGGGAGGGGAAAGAGGGGATCATGAGTACAAACCAGGGTGGTGTCAGTTCTGAGATTCGTGGGTAGCGCTGGGGACGGGAAAGGGAGTTAAGACTACGTAGAAGTCCTGTTGCAACCCACGTGAGACGTGTTGACAGAGCTGTTAGTTATGCACCAACTGTCCACCATGGGCTGGCACTAGTGTCTTCACAGAAATAATGTAAATAGAATTATAAGATAATTACTTAGAACAACAGAATCTGTGGAGAGAAGTGTTGCTAAAACCTAAATCTCTTCTGGAGTCACACCAGAGATGCTGCTTGGGTCCTAAAATCCCCTAGACGATGCCCATCAGGTAGGGTTACCATTCGTCCGGATTCCCCCGGACATGTCCGGCTTTTTCAGGTTAAAAATAGCGTCCGGGGGGAATTTGTCAATGTCCGGACTTCCCCTCCTCCCCCCTCCCATGCAGAGCGTGCGCGCGGCTTACAGAGCAGCCGGTGCTCCAACAGCCAGAGCCAGAGCCCTGCTTGCACTTCCCCCTCCTCCCTCCTGAAACTTGACACCCCTCCTCCTCCGCCCTGCACTCACAGATCTCCGGCTGTTCGTCTGGAGCTCCGAGC